GAGAGAGTGAGAGAGTGAGAGAGAGAGAGAGAGAGAGAGTGAGCGAGCGAGGGGGGAGGGCGAATCGAGGTTGTGTGCGGGCTGATTGCAAAAATCACTTTCCGCCGCGTGAATGTATATTATATTCATGTCACGCCTAGATTCCCACGGAGAAATATCAGCGTACAGTGTGTAACGATTCGCTATTAGATGGATCGCCGAGATTGCATGTGTTTTTGAAGCTGCGAAAGCTATAGCGCCATGAGTTTGAAAGTCGTTGTTTTGCAAAGAAAAATAGGAGGGAAAAAGAAGAGGGTCCGGGGGTGGGGGAAATGTGACCGCTACGGGCGATTCTTGACATATTTTGTACCAGATAAACAATCATTTGCTATTATGTAGTTTACGGTATACTTTCCCGTAAACTTCACATTCTTATCGAATGCGTAACTAATAATTGGCGTGGAAGTTAATTGAGATTATTTAATAGCCTAACGTTTACCGAGATATCTCATAAATTCTTTAATATCCACGAGTATCCGCTTAGGATCAACGTATGGATGTATTTTTATAAATTAGCCAACATTGCGCCGCTCCCTCCGAGACCGTGTCAACTTCCCTCTACCCCTCGCCCCTCCGGCCGCCCTACTAACCAGCGAGTAAGAGTAATCCCGGAGAAGGGGACAATGCACATTGCCTAGTTTTTTCGCGGCCATACGAAAAGAACGTTGAATGATAGATACGAATATGTACTACGCGTATCCCACGTTGTCATAACCAGCCACAATTAGTTCTGTTGTTCAAATAGGTGCATGGGCGCGCGCGCGTGTGTGTGCACGTGACGTTCGGTCGCCGAGGGGTGAAGAAGAAGCGGGTCGCCGCGCGCGTAGTAGTTCGTCTCACTGGCTCATTCCAGAGTCTGGTCGAAAACGCGAGGAAGATGCCTTGGTCGAATGGCTGTGGCGACGACCGCGCAGACGCGGCCGCTAGCGAAGGGCGAGCGCGAGTCGGCGGATGGCAGCGTCAGCAGCAGCAGTAGCTACGGCGTCGACGACGACGACGACGTCTGATATTCAGCCTCGGTGTGAAAGTGCCCGGGGTGCCCCACGAATGCGCATCGCTCGAATCGGGAAATCATATCACGTACGCGCGCCCGCGCACACCTGTACGTGTCACTCGGCCGCAGTCAGCCATCCAGTCCCACTTTTCTTCGCGGCTCTTTCGCGAGCCTCTTTCCCAATGCGCCGAATATCCGGTCGCGCACTCGTCCGCCTGCGGCTTTGCGGGCGGATTTCTGTTTTATGCTCGCGGAGCGGTTCCGTTGGTCGCCTCGGATGTCCCCCTCACGCCCCTCCGCTAGCCGCTTCACGTCTCGTTAGCCATTTTTGTATAGTTTTCTTTATACGCTTTTGTACGATCATCTCCGTAATCATTTTATAATTGCGGCGTGCTTTCTTCTTTGCCTTTTTGGAGAAACTTTCTACAGCTCGAGTTTTTGCCTCACGCAAAAATATGTGTCCCTTCCTGGATTTTTACGATATGGCTCTTTTGAAGCGATGTCGTAGAATTTGAAACGTGGAATTCATTTCGTGGATTTTTTTTTTTTTTTTTTTTTTTTTTTTTTTTTTTTTTTTTTTTTGAAGATGATTGTATGGATCAAATGGTTTGTTTGCAGGAATACAATAGCTCAAGTTGTAGTGGGTTGTATTAAATCGATGATATAATAATGTATCTTGACGATCTATGGTTGTTACATAAATATCTTAACGAATGTATAACTGCCCTATTTTCTTCTTCTTTTTTTTCCCGGTGCGGTTAATTATTATTTTCAGATAATTTTTGTGCAACACTTAAAGTTACATTTATTTGCTTATATAAATAGAGAACGAGCATGCATTATGGTGTTTTTCTGGAAAAAAAAAAGATCAATACTTCCTTATTGTATGTTAACATGCGAATGATTGTCTTAAGGAATTACTTTATATCTTTGAATGGATTAATAATATTTTGGAATTGACACAACATTGATACAACAAGTTTATTCCAAATTATTTGCCATTTATTCGTAAAGCTTCATAAAATGTTTTTATACAATTTATCGATATAAAATATAATTAATATTTTTACACAAGTTTCATTGAGTATAAATAAATTTTGTTGGTTGTTAATCAGCTTGAGTTGCATGATATATTTTGATTATATAGTGACAAATTGAGTTACACGTTGGACAAACAAATACACTATTGCGAGAAATAATGCATTCGCTTGTTAAATAATCTATTTGTAAAAGTTTCAAATTTTCAGAAAAAGAATTGAAAAATAATTACAAGCTTGTATGGTAATTTAAATGAAAACGATACATCCGTGAAATAATGCTACCTATTTACATAAGCCGATATTTCTTTAAGGATTACCTATTTGAATTAAAAAGATAGAATAAGTATTGGCTAAAAGTGAAACATAGAGGAAATCTGAATTTTACAAGTACTTTCTAAGTTTACTTTAGGTAGTTATCAAAAGCATTCTAACCGAATCGGTTGCTACGATTAGAAGGCTGGATGGAAAGGTAATTCCGTGTCTGCTGGTTAGATCCAACCATTGTTTACTTCGATGTATATTTGTGAAAGATGAAAAGAAATTTTTCAATTACGTATTTTATAAGATTAGCCCACAGTTGAATAAATAACGATATACGTTGTAATGCCGACCGTTTTATGTTAAATTTAATATTTATGGATTTTAATATAGGAGAATGCAAAACAAATTTGCGGCTTACTTTTTCATGCAAAATCATGAATATCGATTGTTTTCATATTTTTTTTTTTTACATTTCATTCGAGAGGAAAATTTGTCGGCGAAAAATTATGTTACATATACGGACATTAGGTATTACATGTTTACTCATGGAGATTTCTGTTTCCATAAAAATAACAAGAATAAAACGAAATAGAAAGGAAAAATACAAATAAATAATAGAAAGAAAAGAAAAGAGAAGGATAAAATCAAAGAAAATACAAGAGAAATGTGGAGAAAATTGCTCGTTAATTCGAGCAGCGATACGATCCTATCACTTTTTACGTAAATAAACAAGGTAAGAAAAATACTTTGGACGATCCTAAACATTGACGTGCACTTTTCGTTACCGTGTATCGTTAGGATAGGGAAAATACTAATAGGAAAAAAAAGCTTTCTCCTAATGAGCGAGAGTGCAGCTTTTTTAGGCGGCGACTCGTCGGCCTCGCGTTTATAAAACTTGAGTTACTCACCGAGTAACCGACTTATGATTAAACCGAATCGCTTAGAATGGAAAATTTGGTGTAGAACAGCGGAAATCTTTCCCCTACGTTTCCTGTCTTCTTTCCTCTCGATCCTATCAGCACTCGATTATGTATGTAATAGCATTTGCGATGATGAGAGATGGAGGATGTGGATGCCCGTAAAGGCCTCTGGCCCATAATGAAAACGAGGTTCCTCCTAAAGTAATAATAGCACGGCGTGCGATTACATAAAATAGCGTATACGGCTTACGCGCATGCGTGCGCGCAATTGCACTTTCCACTGATTTGTCCGGCGATGACTAAATGGTCGGATTACGAAAGTTTTATTTCAGAAAATGATCCTCGTAAAGCTGAAAATGAGAAGAGGTAAAAAATTGGATAGAGGTTTCGTTGTCTCCTAATGGCTAAATGACTCGGCACTGCGTATCCGCATTCATTAGCTCGAGAGCGCTGATTTTATCCATTGAAAAACTATAGCTTGGAACTATAAATGTCAGGTATAATATGTCATGAGTAACACCCCATTAAAGTATCTCGAATTTCCGTTGTCGTGCCTCTTTTAATAACGATACTCGATAATAAAAAAAAAAAACAAAAAAAAAACAACAACAACAACAACATGGCGCATAAAAAGTTGAACTTT